GAACTATAGACCAATAAGCCTTGCCTCCATAGTGGGAAAATTTATGGAATCAATAATTGCCGAAGCAATTCGTAGCCATCTTGACAGGCACAGATTGATTAATGATTCTCAACACGGTTTTACAAAGGGGCGTTCCTGTCTAACGAATTTACTAACTTTTTTCACTAAGGTGTTTTAGGAGGTAGATCATGGTAATGAATATGATATTGTGTATAAGGACTTCGGTAAGGCTTTCGATAGAGTTCCACACCAGAGGCTATTGAGGAAACTTAGGGCACACGGAAAAGGAGGAGAAATTTTTTCCTGGGTAGAGGCATGGCTGACAAATAGACAGCAGAGAGTTTGCATAAATGGGGGCACATCACAAGCGGTGTTGGGCCCGTTGTTGTTCACAATTGACATAAACGACATAGATGAGGGAATAAATAGCGACATAAGCAAATTTGCTGATGACTCCAAAATAGGCCGTCCAATTCATTCTAATGAGGACATTAGAGCACTCCAGGATGATTTGAATAGACTGACGCAATGGTTGGAAAAGTGGCAGATGCAGTTTAATGTTGACAAATGCAAAGTTCTAAATGTTGGACAGTTAAATAACCATGCCACATATAAACTAAATAATGTAGATCTTAATTCTACAGATTGCGAAAAGGATTTAGGAGTTTTGGTTAGCAGTAACCTAAAACCAAGACAACAGTGTATTAGTGCTCGCAATGAAGCTAACAGAATTCTTGGCTTCATATCTAGAAGTATAAATAATAGAAATCCTCAGGTTGTTCTTCAACTCTATATATCCTTGGTTAGGCCTCATTTAGACTATGCTGCTCAGTTTTGGTCACCGTATTACAGAATGGATATAAATGCTCTGGAAAACGTACAAAGGAGGATGACAACGATGATCCCATGTATCAGAAATCTTCCCTATGAGGATAGACTGAGGGCCCTGAATCTGCAGTCTCTCGAAAGGCGTAGAATTAGGGGGGATATGATCGTGGTGTATAAATGGAAAACAGGGATAAATAAAGGGGATGTAAATAGCTTGCTGAAAATTTCCAGCCAAGACAGGACTCGCAGCAATGGTTTCAAGTTGGAAAAATTCAGATTCAGGAAGGATATAGGAAAGCACTGGTTTGGTAATAGGGAAAAATAAGTTGTAGTGGATAAGTGTAGATAAAGTACCGAGTACAGTGTGTTGAGCTGAAAAGTGTTGTGTAGTTTTAAAATAGGTTATAAATACAATGAGTGGCTGTGGTGGGTGTGGCAGTTGGACCGAGTAAAGCTTGTGCTGCTGGGTCTGGTTGCAGTGTTCCTCCTTGAGTGGGGATGTGTTCAGACTTGGTGGTACAATTGGATAATTCCTGGGATGGGTACATTAATGAAAATAATCTCGAGCGGGGTGGGGGACATGTGACCTGCTCCGCATTTTCACATTGGCCTGTGCAGTGTTCTTCTTTCTTATAGTAAGTTTCTAAGATTTTTTGTGCAAAATATATAAATTTTTTACTTTAACATTATATAAAAAATAATTCTTTAAGGTATAAGAAATATTTTATTAAATGGATTAATATTAAATGAGTATGCTAATTGACCATTTTACATATTCCATGACATATATTGTATATTATATATATATATATATATAATATATATATATATATATATATATATATATATATATATATATATATATATATAAATATATATTATATGTATATATATATATTATATATATATATATATATATATATATATAATATTATATATATATATATATATATATTATATATATATATATATATATATATATATAAATATATAGATGGTGGTGTGGACGCCTCTGAGCTAATTTCATTTACCCCCTGTTTGTGTACTAGCTCTACAAGCAATATATTATATTACTGTACCCGCGACACGAGAGGTATTGATCAATAACAACACCGCAGTACCCAAGGAGTCAAACCCCTGTTACTTTGGCCGGCCCCATGGTGATCTTGGCTAGTGCAGTGTTGTTATTGAAGAATACCACTCGTTTCTCGTGTACAATAATATAATATACTGTTTGTTGGGCTAGTGCACAAACAGGGAGTAAAATGAAATTAGCTCAGAGGCGTCCACACCACCGTATGTCCTTCTAAGGCGGGTGCAACATCTAGCTTGGCTGGATGCGCCATTCTTAGAATATATAATATAAATATATTATATATATATATGTATATATATATATATATATATATATATATAAATATATAATAATATATATATATATATATATATATATATATATAATATATATATATATATATATATATATATATACAAAACACCCACTCTGAAAAAATAGAGAAATTCCAAGCGCTTTCGTGACTACTCACTTATCAAGGAACTATGAAAGTAAAGCATCCAAGGAAGCTATATAAGGGGTCAGGTCAGCACCTCACTATCACTATCACTATCAGGCCAGCACCTCACTATATATATATATATATATATATATATATATATATATATATATATATATATATATATATATATATATATATATAATAATATATATATATATATATATATATATATATATGTCGGGCCCAATAGGTAAACTCAAGAACTCATTTAAAATTAAGTCCTTTCCAAAATTTTCTCTTCTTTGCGTAAAGATATATTTTTCATTTATGTTCATGAAAAAAATAATAATTTTATACCAAAAGAGCCTTAGAAAACTTACTTTGCCATATTTTAAAAAGCGCAATTTAATTTAGCCTAATCCAATTATATATATTTTAGATAAGTTTACGATAATTTAATAATAAACAAACACACGAAAATATTTTTTTTGTTTAGGTTCAGAATGATTTTAGCGAAATTATTTCATAAAAAAAATTTCGCTTGCCTCATTCGGCAAGAAGAGCCTTGCTATTTAAGCGAAAATCATGAGCTTTACCTATTCGGCACGACATAAATGTATATATATATATATATATATATATAATATATATATATATATATATAATATATAATATATATATATATATATATAATATATATATATATATAAAATATATATATATATATATAAATATATATATATATATATATATATATATAATATATATAGTGTGTGTGTGTGTGGTGTGTGTGTGTGTGTGTGGTTTTGTTTTTGTGTTATAATACTGTTGTGCTCATTTTAAGAATTACTTCAAGACACTCATTTTTCAGGCGTATATTTCTTAGTTTTTGTTTGTTTTTCAGGACAGCTTTGGATAGTAGTAATAATATGTGCCTCTGTGGTCGGCATCATTATGTGGCTAATTCAGGAAGCCTGGGCTTGGGTGTCATCCAGGCGTGGCTTTAACCTTGTGTCTGCCTGCTTTGCCAGCCTGGAGATCTTGCTGTCGGCACCTCTCACTGATGTCCCCATTAATACCTCTGGACGGGTAGGGATATCTCTTTCATCAGCACCAGTAAGATTTTGAGTTACCTCCTTTCTAGGTTTTAGCAAGTATTAATTTCTAAAAACACTTCATTTCTTGACTCTCAAAAAACGAAGGAAAAATATTCAGATTTATGAATGTGTTACCACTGATATGTATTGGTTTCCATCACTGGTATAATCACAGTATAATATATACAATTATGTACTAACAACATTATGTACATATATAATATGTACATACAACCAAGAGGATTTACCAGACAAGTCACTCTAGTATAAATACAGGACCAGGGTTTGAACTCATTAATGTTTTTCTGTTAGGGAGCAACGAGCCACTTGGTAAAACACAAACACTCGTCACGTCAGATAGTCAACACAGTTAAGAAAATCATGTTACAGCCCATCCTCTGAACATTATTTTACCGATGGTAATATAGTCGAATAGGTGACTGTTTAATGAGTCTTGATCAGTGATTATACTGGTCGACACTCATTTTCTTTCCAATAATATTACACCATTTTAGAGTGAGTTTGTAGTGTTGCTTTCGAGTATGTTATCGGTTTTGCTTCATTGGCTCTAGTTTTTGAGAAATTTGGTATGCCAATGAAAAACATAAAGAATGTGAAAAATATATTGGTCAGACAGGGTTAGCTTACAAATAGCATTTTAATTATTTTTTAGACCATACAAGCAAGGAAGAGGTTTACCATCTTCAGAATTACACAAATAGATATCTTGTGTTCATGATAACAAATCTTGTAATGAAAGTTGGTAGAATTACCGACAATATGTAAAGTAAAAGGACACAAGTGCAACTAATGTGACATTTATTGTGGCAACGTTTCGCTCTCCAGGAGCTTTATCCAGCTTGATAAAGCTCCTGGAGAGCGAAACGTTGCCACAATAAATGTCACATTAGTTGCACTTGTGTCCTTTTACTTTACATAACAAATCTTCTTCAAGAACATTTTGATATTCTCGTAATCTTCTTTAAGTTTTGATGAGTGAGCAATTAGAAGAGATGTGTATTGGTTACCACTGTGCAATTTGACAAATCTGAAGCTTCTAATGGAGCTGTTTATAAACAGCTACCAATCTCCTGGCCGATATTCAAGTCCCATTCGAAGAAGTCCAAAGATGTTATTGCAAACTGCATAAGAGGGCCAAGAAGGCCAAGGATCAAGCAAGTCCATGGTTGAACACAATATTAATAAATCGAGCTTCATAAAAAATGTTATTGACTGCAATATGAATACAAGCCCAAGACTGAATAAAATAAATTTATTTACAATGAATAGTATTTGTGAGGATTGTAACCTGTGTTGACTCTTATATTGATATTTTAAGATATAAGTAGATAATATCAAATTATTCACGCATGGACTTATGAAGGGCGTAACTCTGTCTTTAATTTAAGTAAAATATCTGTATGTGGAGGCACTTCACCTCATATTTACAATAAGATTCAGTGATTAGAAATATCAATATGTCTGTTTGGGCTCCAGGTCCTGGTTGGGCTGTGGCTGTTGGCCTCCTTCATCATCAACTCTGCTTACCGCTCCTCACTTGTGGCAAACCTCTTCATCCAGAGCAAGCGTCCACCTGTCAACACATTCCACGACATACTGAGACAAAACGGCTGGTCATGGGGGTCACCTGAATTACAAGGAACATTCTTCCTTTTCTTCAACCAGAGCACTGATCCTGAAATTCAGAAAATACTGAAAAATATGCAGGTTAAAAAGCATGAGATTGATCTGCCTATGTTTACGTTTCTTATAAGAACATAAGAATGTAGGAACACTGCAGAAGGCCTACTGGCCCATGCGAGGCAGGTCCTTATCAAAACGATCACTACCTAAAGCTACCCAAGAAATAACTCCCGTATCCAATGACACCAATCAAACCCAGCCCCTCCCTATCTAATTTTCATTTGTTTTTGATTCTGAAGACATTCTCAGTACGCATTCTGTTCATTCTCTATCTTTGCTTTCTCCAGAAACACCCTGAAGTATATTTCTCAATTACCTAAATTGTTTCTCTTTACGTAGAGAGTATTGATCACATTAATACAGCAATGAACACCACCATCAATAGTCTAATGTTGCTCATAATGAAGTATACTGCATCATATTCTACCTGGCTAACTTCCACATCTCTCACTATCTACTCCATCTCATTTTCTTCACCTTCTGTTCCTCTGGCATGACTGCCTTTCTCATTTTTGGATATCTTTAAACTCTCATTACCGTTTACTCACATATTTGTACTCACCTGTTTGTGGTTGCAGGGGTCGAATCATAGTTCCTGACCCCGTCTTTTCTTCCTGCCTCTGGCGAATACTTACTTTTCCTCCTAAATGTTCCCTTTCTTTCTGTGTAATATGTAACGAAGTCATGTCGTACTGCCGAATTGAAGGCCGATGTTAGTTAATATGGACTTTTCAGTTCGGAAGATGGACTAAAAGATGGACATCCTATTAATCACGAGTTAGACAGCTAGAGTTAAGAGGGGGTCAAGATCTTTATACCACCGTCACAAATAACTCGCACCTGTGAGAATAAAACTGGTGATGACCTTTCGTTCTGAATTGGACTGTTAATTAGTCACTAGATACAAGTTTCATTATCCTATGTACGGGTTATTTGTGTATTGTTCCAGTCACGGTATTCGGCTCTTATAGTATTTGTACCTCCTAAATAGAAACACTGAAATATAGACATATTGAAACATTTAGCTTTTATATGTATGGTATCTAAATATACAAAATGTACGACAGATAAAAAATAGATGATGAGTAATAATACAGCAAATTGTACTAATAATGGCACTAAAAACTAGTGCTGTAGATTTTGTTCCTTTAAAACCTTTTACATTTGTCTGATTTATTAACAAACTTTGAGCCTCAGGACGCGATACGTATAGAAGACTAACGGAAATTAATAAGAATTTTAGAAAATATTTTAATTAGTAACGTGTGGGAGAATCACTGGCAGTAATAGATTTGTGGTGATTAATATCCTCCTGTCTTATGTGACATGTGTATTACTTGCTACAGTTAGTATTTTCTTATCATATTCATCTAGTTAAAATTAATTGGAACGAATTATAGACACATTGAATTCAAGGTTGTCACAATAACAGAAAAACTACATACCTGAAACTGCCTGCTTTTCTAAGACAGATTTACGATATAAAAGAGGGTGGACAACGGTTGATGGCTGGTGCTTTCTCCTACCTTCTCCTCAAGACGCAGTTCAGTGTGGAATTGGCTCGCTTGTACACCGACCAACTAGGCAACACTCCCTTCTACGTCGGGACCACCGAATACCCTATCCTCGGGGGTAATGCATGGGGGTTTAGGTGAGTGGAAGCTGTTTAAACATGCTGAAAAATATCTTACTCCCTGGTAAGTAATTGTGCATATAGTTAGGTAAAGTGTCTTTCTCATCAAATACGATTTTCCTTCTATACATTCAAAGCACAGTGTAATTTTTGTTTTCTTTATTATCCTCGCCATACAGACAAGGAGCGCCATTCATAAATCAGATCAGCAGGATGAAACAGAGACTTATTGAGGCGGGTGTCCTAAAAGTTTGGCTGGACCAGGTGATCACCGCTGACCACAGACTCAGCAGGTCCCAGAGAGATGGAAATGATGCTCAGCTCTACACTGAGGTAAAGGCGGACCAATAACCTCTGTTATTATTACTTACATCATTTTCTATCAGGATTTATTCCTGAATCTCCAGACTTATAACTTTCGATTAAAATTAAAATGTTAACTTCATTAAGACTAATTTTATCATAATGCATAAGTTATATGCTTCTTGATTTTATTATTTTTCATATTATTAACACATCGGCCGATTCCCACCAAGGCAGGGTGGCCCGAAAAAAAAAAACTTTCACCATCATTCACTCCATCACTGTCTTGCCAGAGGGGTCCTTTACACTACAGTTATAAAATTGCAACATTAACACCCCTCTTTCTTGATTATAAACTTTTTATAATGATTTGTAGCCTCATATGAACTAATAAACATCACTTTTGATTGGAATTGTGTTAAAAACGTGGAAATAATAATACAATAGTGTGCATATAAATGGGACAGTGATAACATAAGACATTTATATGGAAAATTAATGTTTATTTAAAAAATGCACTGCAATAATTTGAAAGATAATTAACTGAATAGAGATATGTCTACCCTTTGCTTTTATAAACATTAGATAAATGTTTTGGCATACTATCGACCAATGTTGAATGCATTATGGCAAGTTTTTCGTTGTGGTACCACGTCCTAATAACAGCAACAGTGTTTCCACAGATGAACAGTCCTGTTTCGTGATTCTGTGTCTGTTTATTACCAATAGATTCTCAGTTGGGTTGAGGTCAAGAGTGTTTCCAGGCCAAATTCAGAACACTTAGCCCACTCTCTTCGAAGAATGTCAGCATTTTTCTGGAAGTGTGGCATGAAACAAGATCCTGCTGGAAAATGCCTTCTCCATCAGGAAAGTCTCTATCCACAATTGGAAGAAATTAAGTTTTCAGGTTTGCCTTATTGTTGTCACTATTCATCATTCCCTAAAAAATAACAAGCTGTCCAGGGCCTTTCGCAGTAAAACTACCCATGAACATCTTAGGTGGGTGTTTTGGCGCTTGTTAAATGTGTCCACTCCGAAGTTCGTCTTTGGTCCGTCTTATTACCACTGATCTGTACTTGAAAATGCGCCTCATCTGAAAATATATTTTTCTCCATTCACCTGTTATCCATCCATTACGGTCGAATGCTCACCGCAGCTGTTTTCTTCTTCTTAAAAGCAGTCAATAACTGTTTTTCTAACGGTTTTCCTGCAATGCTGCCAATTTCAAGGAAACTTTGTCAAACACTTGAAGAATAAATATTTAGGCCAGGTGAAGCCAATTCTTTCGGTAGAACATTGTTGGTTTTCTTGTGATTCTTCACAATATTTCTTATGATAACCTAGTCATCGTTGACTTGCATTTTCCTTTACATCTTCCTCGACACAGCGCTCCACAAACACCAGTGTCATCAGTTCTCTTCAGAATCCGGCCAACAGTTACTTTGCTAGGCTTTATTTTTTAGCGATCTGTCTGATTCTCAAATGAGCATGTTTTGTAAGAGGTACAATGGCTGCACACTTCCTAGATGTAACGTTATCCATCATGAATTTCAGCAGTAATTATTAAGTGAAGTGGAGAATTTGGCGAATCCACATGTACCCACAGAGAACGCTTTCAGGAAGATTATTATTATTATTATAATCAAGGGGGAAGCGCTAAACCCAGAGGATTATACAGCACCTGGGAGGGGGGATGTGGAAGGCATTCAGGCTTAATTCGGGGAACTGGAGCACAGATCCAATTCCCTAAATCAAGAGCCCCTCACCAACATCAAGGAACCTTCCTTGAGGGGCTTGCAGGAAGAGCCTTATAGAACAATAGTTGCTGTAGCACCGATGGGAGTCACACCATAGCTGGATGGTTGCCAGAAGTCAGTAGCAAACTCTTCTGAAGTGAAAAGAAACCAAACTACATTAATTACGCCGGACTACTGTAAAAATAATAATAATAATAATTGATGCTTAGTTATGTTGTTACCGTAAATGTTTTACTAAATTGCATTCATCAAAAAAAAAAAAAAAAAAAAACTGAGCTAGCACATAATGCATACTGATCATGCTGACCTGTCTCTGGTTTAGGTGAGTGTTAGCCAGCAAGTCCTGGGTCTGGACCACCTTCAGGGAGCCTTCTACCTGCTGCTGCTGGGCTACTGCCTCGCTCTTCTCAACCTCCTGGCTGAGGTCTTCACTTATCCCAGTCATCACTTTCCTCATCATGAGGCTAATCTTGGATAAGCAATATGCACCCCACACGAAAATCATCACACGAAATTGACCCTGTGTATGTGTGATTGACCGTGTAGTGTCCAATTCGTACTCACGTATTTGTGGTTGCAGGCCTCTTCTTCGTCCAATACTGGATTCATTCTCTACTTGCTGTGTAAGTCCAAACAGTTATTCCACAACACTCCTGAGTTGATTGCTTCACTACCTGACTACTCAAAGGCTCAAGAACCATTTTCTGGCAACTCTATGACTCATCTTTTTTAGCTTTCAGCTGCTACCTCATGTACCTGAGACCTGCCTTTCAAACTCACTCGCCCAGTCAACCCTGCACATTTCTCACTGTAAACTGTACATTGTAATTTTGTGACCCCAAGTCCTTCTGTACTCCCGTATCATCAGGTTTAACTTTATAGTCTTTCCTCATAGTTCCCTCAGTTCTGGAACTTGTCTTGTAGGAAATCTTCGCACGTTTCCCAGCTTTCTTAACATACTTCATAAGATGTGGGTTCTATACGGGCGCTTCACCTAACAACCCTGTACCTGACATATGCCAGGTACAGGGTTGTTAGTGCCTCACTGCTGAGGCTCTTTGAAGACACCCTAAAATCTGTACGTCTTCTGCTTGCTGCAGCTGGTATTCAATTGGTGTGATGCCACCAATGAAATGCTTAGAACTATACTCAACGCGCTGTCCTTCTGTTATAGGAAGGTTTGCAGCCTATGTCCCCCGAGTGTGTATTCTGCTTCCAGTCGTCTTTGCCCTTCCTTGAATTTCATAACATTTCATTTGCTGCAGTTAAGTTCTAATAGCTACTTGCAAGAATAATTTT